AATGTATTATCTGATTTACTACTATTTGTTGATCCTACGAGAGTATTTTTATATCCATATATGATTTTTATCAGATTCAAATATATTTATTTTCATGCATCCAGAATATTATTATGATGAACACACCATGGCTAAACGTATATTGCCAAAATATTTAGTAACCATGAACAAAAATACAGCAAAGTGAAACAAATCATGATATGCAGATTTGGAATATATAAAAACAAAATGTGTGATTTTAATTCAAGAAAATTAAGGTAACATGCCTAAATTATCTGTCATTGTAATTATTTTATTTCGTATTAGTAAGCAAATTACTAATAAGGTAAAGTGAAACAAAATCATGATCAAGAAAAATATGGTAACATGCCTAAATTGTCATAACGATTCTGCATATATTCTACTCGTAAACAAATTAGCCCAATGAGAAAATGAAGAGTGACAATATGGGCCTTGAGGCCTTATTAATTAAGGTTTCTGGAATTTATAATGAAAAAATTTCATACTTTTGGTGACAATAGTTACACATTCCACAATTACATTTAACTAAACAAAACTTCTCTTATCAATTTAGCTTCAGAGAGCTGCTTCATAAAATCTGTGTCTATCTAGTGTTTCATGAGGAACAAGACTCCTCAACAAAATGGACCAAGTTCTAACATTTGGAACAAAACCTTCTTCAATACCTTCATCAAGAAGAAAGCAAGCATCGTCAACAAAACCACCTTTGCACAACCAACTCATCAGAGTGTTATACGTCACCGTATCAGGCGCAATTCCTTCGTCCTGAAGCTTCTTAAACATTGCCAAACCATCTCCGATCCGACCGGCCTTGCACAGACCGTTTATCAGACTGTTGAACGTCACAATGTCTGGTGTGGATCCTCTATGAACCATCTCTTTCTGAAACTCAACCGCTTCTTCCACCATCCCGCTTTTGCATAGCCCGTCTATAAGTATGTTACAGGAGATGCAGCTCGGTACAAGCCCGTCTTTTAACATCTTTTCGAACAAGCTTCTTGCTTTTTTAACCTCTCCGGCCCTGCACAGCCCTTTTATCAGACTATTGTAGGTTATTTCGTCAAGCGGGGATCCTTGGAAAACCATCTCATTGACCAGTTTACGAGCTTCTTTGATCTCGCCTCTTCTGAGAAACGCGTTGATCAACGTGTTGTAAGTAACAGTATTGACAACAACACCTTCTGATATCATGTCTCTGCGTAACCACAAGGCATGCTCAACTTCGTCGACTTCACAGAGTCCGTATATCATCGAATTGAATGTATACACATCATGCTTACAGCCTTTGCTTGGCATCTCTCTGAAAATCTTTATGGCCTCGGGGATTCGATGTTCTTTGAGTAAAGCAGATATTAAACAGTTAAAACCAACAGTGTTGAGTCTCAATCCATCAGCAGACATATCATTCAGAACATTGTACGCTTCTTCTATCTTTCCTAATTTGCAGAAACCATCAATTAAGATAGTATAAGAGACGACGTTGGGCTTACAACCTTTGTTCCTCAGATCGCGAACAACTTCCAGAGCTAAACCTACAAGACCCTTCTTCCAATATCCATCGATCAGCGAGTTAAACGTGCAGACATCAGGAACGATACCATGGTACGTTACCATATCTGATATAACAGCTTTAGCATCATCAAGTCTTCCCTGACTCACAAACCCGTGAATAAGAGTATTGAAGATGACAACATTCGGCTTAGGAATTCTGCTAAAAAGATCCTTTGCAGCATCAATACGACCTATCTTACATAGTCCATTCATCAAATAGCCATACGTTTTATCATCAGGAGCAAAACCTCTATTCAGCATCCGGTTCACCATTTTAGCAGCCTCGTTAATCCGATCAAACTTACAGAGACCAAGGATAACATCGTTAAACGTTTCAGCATCAGGGACACAACCCATCAGAAACATCTCTTCGAGAAGTTGAAGCGCTTCGTTCACTCTATTACACTTTGACAATGAATGTATAAGAGTCTGGTAAATAATCGAGTTAGCGACGCAGCCATGTTTCGTCATGTCCTTGAGCAGAGACAGACCCGAATCGATTTCGTTAACCGCACAGAAAGCTTTTATGACAACTCCAAATGTTAAAACCGTAGGAGGGATTCTTCGGCTAAGCATATCGTAGAACACGTTGACTGCAACTTTATGACAATCACCAGCAACCAAAATCTCCAAGACAACATTGTAAGATTTAAAACTGGGTTCACATGAAAACACATTCCTCATCTCCAACATCAATCTCGTAGTTTGTCCAGGAAACCCAGCTTTACCGTAATCTCTCATAATCGAAATGAAAAGGGTTTCTCTAAAAACGATTCCTTCTTCTTTCATCTGCATCAACAATCTATCAATCATCTTAAACTTACCGTTACCACCGAGCTTACCTATAAGCACTTGGTACACATCGAAGGAGTGTCGGTAACCCTTTTGAGAACCGGACCATGAGAACAATTCCATTGATGTGGAAACATCCAGAGGTAACTCAAGTAGCTTACAGAGCTGAAAAGGAGTGATCTTGTGAAACGAATTCCTGAGAGAATCGAGATCGAATGGTTTAAGAAGTTTCTCCCACTCGTTGCCTGAATCGGAACCACCGTTTTCCGGTAAGCCATTATCGCCGCCGCTACAAAACCCAGATGAGAGAATCTCGTAATAGGATAATTGCAGCGAAGAGTGTGATCTTCTGCTCAAATCAAGAGCAAGCTTTGATCTCGCAAGCATAACCCTAAAAGCCACATTAATCTCTGAATGAGGATTTTAGTCAC